AGACTTTTAGGCAGACTAAAAGAGAGAGAGAAGACTAAAATAAATAAAATTAGAAATGAAAAAGGAGACATTACAACAGAAATATATAGGACCATACAACACTATTATTAGCAATTATAGGCCAACAAATTAGATAACCCAGAAGAAATGGATAAGTTTCTAGGAACATAAAACCTACCAAGACCATTTCAGAAAGAAATAGAAAATCTAGGGACGCCTGGGGGGCTCAGTTGGTTAAGCATCTGTCTTTAGCTCAGGTCATGATCCCAGGGTCCTGGGATTGAACCCCCTTCATGGGCTTCTTGCTCAGTGGGGAGCCTGCTTCTCCCTCTCCCTCTGCCTGCTGCTCTCCCTGCTTGTGCTCTCTCTCTCTCAAATGCATAGTTAAAATACTAAAAAAAAAAAATCTGAAGGGACCAGGAACTAGCAAAGAGATAGACACAGTAATCAAAAACCTCCCAACATTGAAAATTCTAGGGCTGATAGCTTTACTGATGAATTCTACCAACATTCAAAGAAAAATTAATACCAACCTCTCTCAAACCTTTGCAAACAACTGTAGAGATGAGAATGTGTCTAAATGCATTCTATGAGACAAGCATTAGATTGCCCAGACACTAATGCCTGATTGGGACACCAGAAGAAAAGTCAACTATAGAACAATATCCCTGACGATAGAGAGGCAAAGTTCTCAACAAAATATTAGGAAGCCCAATTCAAGAACACATTAAGAGGTTTATACACTATGACCAAGGGGGATTTATCCTTGGGATGCAAGGATGTTTCAACATACACAAATCAATAAATACAGCACATTCCATTGATAAAATGAAAAATTTAAAATCATAGGATCATCTCAATAGATGCAGAAAAGAGCATTTGACAAAATACAACATCCTTCATGATAAAAACCCTTGGCAGATTGGGTATAGAAGGAACATACCATAATGTAGTAAAGGTCATATGTGACAAATCCATGCCTAACATTATATTCAATAGAGAAAAATGGAAAGTTTTTTTCTCTAAGATCAAGACAAGGACGAGGGTGCCCACTCTTATCATTCTTATTCAATGTGGTACTGGACATCCTGGCTAGAGCAATTAGGCAAGACATCAAAATAAAAGGCATACAAATTGAGAAGGAACGAGTAAAATGGTCACTATTTGCAAAGGTTATGATTCTGTAGAGTGAAAAATCCAAAAGACTCAAACAAAAACACTTGGAACTAATCAGTGACTTCAGTAAACTTATAGGATATGAAATCAAGATACAGTAATCAGTTGCATTTCTATATACTAAGAACGAAACATCTGGAAAAAAAATCAATAAAACTTTCCCATTAACAATAACAACATCAATAAGAATAAAATACTTAGGAATAGACTTAACCAAGGAAGTGAAAAATATGTAAAATGAGAACTACAAGACCTGGTTGAAAGAAATCAAGACACAAATGGAAAGACAACGTGTTTTCATGGATTAGAAAAATAAATATTGTAAAATTGTCTATACTACCCAAACCCAAGTATAGATTCAATGCAATCCACATCAAAATACCAATAGCATTCTTCCCAGAAATAGAAAAAACAATCCTCAAATTTGTCTGGAACCACCATGTAAACACAAATCAATACCCAAAGACCTAGATTAGCCAAAGCAATTTCGATGAAAAAGAACAAAGCTGGAGGTATCATACATTCTGATTTCAAACTACACTACAAGGCTACAGTAATAAAAACAGTATGGTACTGGCACAAAATCAGATACCTAGGCCAACAGAACAGAATAGAGGACCCAGAATGAACTTCCTGATCATACAGCCAATTAATAATTGACAAGAGAGCCAAGAGCACCACTCACAAAAATTCACTCAAAATGGATCAAAGGCTTAAATATAAGACCTGATACCGTAAAACTCCCAGAAGAAAGTGAAGAGAGGAGCCTCCTTGACATTGGTCTTGGCAATGACTTTTTGGATATGACACTAAAAGCACAAGCAACAAAAGCAAAATCAACAAATGGGACTGACTACAAGAAACCTGAAAACTTACGCACAGCAAAAGAGACAACAAAATGAAGAGGCAACCTGTAGGATGGGAGAACATTTTACAAGTGATATATCAGATAAGGGGTTAATCTCCAAAATGTACAAAGGACTCATACAACTCAATAACAAAACCCAAACAATCTGATTTAAAAAGGATAAAAATACACATATCTTGCTGAGCACTAAGGTATAGAATTGTTGAGTCATTATATTGTACACCTTAAACTGATATAACACTGTATGTTAATTATTCTTCAATAAAAAATGGGCAAACCTAAATACACTTTTTTCCTAAGAAGACATAAAAATGGCCAACAGGTACATGAAGAGATGCCCAGCATCACCAGTCATCAGGGAAACGTAAATCTACGCCACAATGAGGTATTACTTCACGTCCAGTGGAATGGCCATCAGCAAGAAGACAAGTGTTATCAAGTGCTGCTGAGGATGTGGAAGAAGAGAAGTCCTGCACACAGGTGCTGCAGCTACAATGGAAAACAGTATTGAGGGCCCTAAAAAAAATTAAAAATAGTACTCGATATGATCCAGTTACCCATATGATTCCACTTCTGGGTATTTATCCCAAAGAAAATTAAAACACTAACTCAAAAATATATGGGGTGCCTGGGTGGCTCAGTGGGTTAAGCCTCTGCCTTTGGCTCAGGTCATGATCCTGGCATCCTGGTATCAAGCCCAGCATCAGGACCCCTGCTCAGTGCGGAGTCCACTTCTCCCTCTCCCTCTGTGCCTTCCCCTGCTCATGCTCTTGCTCACACTCCCCCCCGTCTCTCAAATGAATAAACAAAGCCCCCAAAACATGTATGTACCCCATCTCATTGCAGCATTATTTACAATAGCCAAGATTGGAAACAACTGTGTCTAATGGTAGATGAATGGATAAAGGAGATGTGGTGCCTACATACAATGGAGTATTACTCAGCCATGAGAAAGGAGGACATCCTGCCATTTGCTACAACATGGAGAGACCTTGCGCACATTATGCTAAGTGACATAAGTCAGAGAGAGAAAGACAAGTACTATTCAGTATCACTAACATGTGGAACATAAAAGAAGAGAAACTTGTAAAAACAGAATAAAATGGTGATTGCCAGGGGTTAGGGTGTGGGGGGACAGGGCAGATGTTATTTAATAGTACAAACTTCCAATGAGTAGTAAAGAAATCCTTAGAAGGATAATACACAGCACAGTGCACATAGACAATGTTGTATGAGGAACATCAAATGTGCTAAGAGACGAGAACTTAATTATTCTAACTACTAAAGATAAAGGATGACTATGTTAAAGTGGTAGAACTGTTAATTATCACTACAATGGCATCGTATTACAAGGTATGATAGTAACAATGCTATATATGTCAAATATATTTCAAAAAAAGAAAAGGGAGAAAAGAAATGTAAAAGATAAGGCATGAGAAATGAAATATTCACAGATTCAGAGGTAAATGGTAAATGATTACTATGTTCTATCATTACATAATAGTTTTTAAATACTCATATAATTACCTACATACATGTTCACATGCACATATATGGATAACCAATATTGACTCGGTTCAATGTGTATTGACCTATAAATATAGATGTGGAAACATTTTCATGAAAGATGTCCCCCTAGAAGATTGATACAGTAAATTGATAGTATTTTCCTAACTTGGATTTTTTCAGAGAATTTTAAATTTTTGGTGGGTAAAGAAGGCATTTTGTATATAACCCCTTGTCCATTTCTTTGAATCTTTAAAAGCCAATGTTATCTTCTTTTTATCAATACCTGTGAATATAATGAACACATTTCTTAGAGGAAATTTATAAAATATGGACAAGCAAAGAGAAGAAAATGATGATGGTCCAAAAAGAACTATTTTTAGCAACTTTATGTATATTGTTTCAGATGTGTTTGTGTGCATATGGTCCTGCGGCTATGGATATATTTTCTACAGTATCATCTTTAGTGCCTGTTAATATTTGAGCACATAGATACATAAATATACTGTCTGTTTCCACTTGGGTGAGGCAGCTCAATCTCTAATGGTCATGGTATACTTTTCCGCCTTTCTTCAAAACTTATCATACTTATTTCTTCTATTAACTGTTTTCCAGTCATGCTGAACATTTAGATTCTTAACATTTTCCACTATCCTAAATATTGTTGCATTGAGTGCCTGTGGACCAAAATCATGGGGAAATTCCATGATTATTTTCTTGGGATAAATTCTCAGATATATAATTACTAGGTGGAAGGGCATTTACATTAAGGCTTTTGTACCTATTGCTCATAAGCCCTTCCAGAAGTTTGTGCCCACTTTCACTGTCCTCAGTTCTGTGTGTGATCCTGATTTCTTCCAGTTTGAATATTTTACCAATTTGCAATCTGTCATTCATCCATGCTGCTCAGAGTTTTGGAAGTTCACCTTATCACATCTCACTGAAAAGGTGCATGGCCAACTAATCAAGAACAAATACAACCAGGACATGAACCTGAAGAATTTAAAGAAAGGATGAAGTGCAAAATGACCAGAGACTTGGGGCAATCACTAAGATTTATGAGATCTTGTTTCATTTTTCAGAGTAAAAATAATACGGAAGGGAGTAAACCACTTCTTGGGCTTATAATGTGCTATGAAGAGGTGGCAGAGACAAATTTTATTTTCTTCACTGTCTTTTAAATTTAGTCACGAGGAAAATCTTTACCCGGGAGAACATTTACTATCAAAGTAGGAAAGGAGGGCAATTTTACCTAAGTTCAGATCCACAGTTCCAGATAAATAACCTCCTAAAATAAACAATCAGCTGGAGGTCTATGCAGCCCATGACTCCAGTTTTTGAATATCTGAGAGACTACTCTTTGCAAGATGGACCAGATTTCCTCTTTGTAACATGGGGCAGATTTGGATGGAGGAGAGGGAATTATGGGGAAAAGGCCACGTCAACTCACCCTCACACACAGGTGCTTCCTTATCCCAAGTGACAGTACTGCCCAACAGGAGACAAGCCGAGGAAGGGGAGCCAATGAGTCGATACCTAGAAGCAAAGAATGGAAAAATTATACTCTACACTTATTTTCTACTTAAGTCCCTATGAGAAAAGAATTGTGGATAGATGCTACAAATTACAGGCAGATTAAAACAGGAGATGTCAAGGAAGAATCCTCATTTCCATCTGAAAATTGGTCATTTCTAAGGACAGGTTTAATTCTCACCGCTTTCATCCATGTTTCTTGCTAGTCCCTCATTACAGAATGCAATAATGCCCTTCTTCATCAAGGAACATTTTGTACTTGTCTTTAGGGAACCTCAAGAGCTAGTCTATCCATGTGCACGTCCATCCAGGAAATGACAAGCTCCTTGATTAAGGGAAGATATCTTATTGAAATATTTATATTCTCTAGAATCTCACCTAGAGACTTTTAACCACGTGGTACTTGAAAAATATCTGTTGGATGAAGGATAGGATGATGGTTTTGCTAAGATGACTCAAATGTAATAGGTGGGAGTACTTACCTATTGTGCCATAAAATCATTCAATGTAGGTCATCAAGATTGGAACATTTCATCACTTATTTTTTATTTAGTAGGTATCTATACTGTTACTGTAAGAAATGTCACAAAGGATATTCAGCTAAGCTATTCACACATTTCATGTAGAGTAGGGTTAAACTTGATTAAGTAAAAGATAAGGGGTATAATGCAATGTCATATAATAGTGAGTAGTTACTGGAACAGCTAAGAACTTTGCTTCTTGATTATCGAAGACGTGATCAGGGCAGTAACCATTTGTAGCAGAGTCTCCTGGTATCTCTATTATCTACTTTCCTCTTTCTCATTAGGGATGGAGCCCTGTATTTTTAACCGGGCTTTTGGGCATCTTCATTAAAGGTTCCCTGTGGTTGTGTATAGCCACGTGACTAAGTTTTAGCTACAGGGATGCACCTAGAGGGTCGTGTGAAACTTCTGGAAAGTGTCTTTAAAGGAATGGGTGTTCCTTTCCTCCATTGTTTCTCTTTGCTGGCGAGAGTTGGACCATGTGATGACACAGAGTCTCAAGTGGAAGGATCCCAGGTTTATGTGGATCACGGAGTCACCTATTAGCCCTGGGTTTGTACATTTTACCGTTTTCTTGAAGGACTTCCCCTGCTCTTCTTAACCTGAGAAGGAAGTAAACTATTATCTTGTTTAAGCCCGTTATTTTGTTTGTTCTGTCTTTTACAGCTTAATCCAATCCTAACCTATATACCAGGTCTTCCAAAAACAGTGATATAAAGGTGACGGGAACTATGTGGGTAGAGCAATGATAGTGAGTACTTTTGTAAATGAGTTGAGTCACTTTTATATTGAGTTTTACTTATTGTTACTTTTCTTTTTATTGAGTATGTTGTAAAATCTTTTCCAATGTGCCAACAAATATTTCAAATGCGCCAACAAAATCCTCCAAATTTCTTCAAAGAAACTATTTGAGAAGCCCTACTGTATTTCCTTCTGCCTTTCTCCTATTATACATTTAACAATTGTCTTAAGAGCACAGGATCATGGGTGTCATGACTTTTGACTATAGATGTTGCTTTTAATGTGTTCACTATGACTAAGTTAGAGAATTGGAGTAAAAAATGTGAGGCAGGTTCCAGTCTATGTATGGCTGTAAAAAACAGGAAATATTTTTGAATGTATTATGAGACACTAATATGCTCCAGTAGCAATTGTTGTAATTTTTTCTGACTTGATTTCCCATCTCTCTGAAATTCTTTTACTCCAGCCTACTCCTTAGCTTCCCAGGACATTAGGAATTCAGGTGGCCTTGAAGCTAACCTCTGATCAAGAAAAGCCCTGAGATTCTCTTCCCTGTGAGCAAAATACACACTGTGCAGAAGCATGCTGACACAGACATTGGAGAGACCATTACATAAGTTCAGGGATGGGATATGTAAGGGCTGGAATATGGTGCTACTTCTATCCTTCCTATTTGTTCATGGACTTAGAATTAGTTTGGAGTAGAGGGAATCTATGGAGATATTCCATAGGCTGCAAATGATTAAAAGTAGCTCACAGATACGATTCTGTCACACATTCAGTTGTGTGTTGAACTTTGTATTTTACAGAGAATGTAAGCTTTCTCTCGAGGAGTCATTTATAAAAGTTGTAACATATCACTCCTCAGAGTGTATCTCAATACATTTGCACATAGGAAAAATCAAAACAGCTATATGCTCTCATTATAATACAATAACACTAGCAATCAATAACTACAGAATAAATAAAAAATTCAAAGGTTGGGTAGGATCTTGGTCAAAGACAAAAGTAAAACAGACATTGCAGATTACCTTTAGGATAAGAACAACATGATCAGCGAGTCATGTGTTTCACTCTTCAAAGTGTTTGACATAGATACACTTACTTAATTTTTAAAATGATGCTTTTAAGTGAATATTACGCCTAGCCCCCATTTTACAAAAGAGAAAACAGAGTTTAACAAATTTGTCCGAATTCACATGACAGTTACTAAGGTTAGAGTTTGAATGCCAACTGGCCTCAACAACCTGTAGTGATAAACCTGACATTCATTATTCAGTGCCTTCCTTATAAATGCTGATGCAAATATTACTCTTTGAAAATTTCTGGGATGCTGATACCAAAACTGCCTTAGAGGAATATTTAATACTTTTGTCATTTGACAAGAAAAAGTTCAGGGGTGCCTGGGTGGCTCAGTTGTTTAAACACCTGACTTTGGCTCAGGTCATGATTTCAGGCTCCTGGGATAGAGCCCCACATCCGGCTCTGTGCTGGGTGGGGAGTCTGCTTGTCCCTCTGTCCCCAACCCCCAAACTCTTTCTCTATCTCTCTAATAAATAAATAAATAAGTAAAATCTTCAAAAAATTTTAAAAAAATTTCATATAAGTGAACCCAACATTTTACTTTAGATGTTTTAAAGACTATGAACATGAATATATAAAGGAAGCTGGTCTGAGGAACCAGTAAAATAAACCAATAAGTACGAAAAAGAGAATAGAAATGATAAGTAAATCAAAGAGCAGTTTCTTTAAAGTGGCTGATTAAAATAAACAAAACTTGGCCAATCATAACATCACAAAATAACAAATCTACAGATACACATGAATGAGAAAATAGTTATCATTATAGATACTGAGGAAACTTTATAAAAAAGTACACATTAGGGGCACCTGGGTGGCTCAGTGGGTTAAAGCCTCTGCCTTCGGCTTAGGTCATGATCCTGGGGTCCGGGGATCGAACCCCGCATTGGGCTCTCTGCTCAGCAGGGAGCCTCCTTCCTCCTCTCTCTCTGCCTGCCTCTCTGCCTACTTGTGATCTCTGTCTGTCAAATAAATAAATAAAATATTTTTTAAAAAGTATACATTATAATGTACTTTATAAAAATATTATGACCTCTATCCCAATGAAATTGAAAACATCTGTGAGATGTGTCATTTTGTAGGAAAAATGTAATTTATCAGGATGTACTTAAAAATAGGTAGAACAGCTGATAAACCTTTATCTGTCTGAGTCTCTGTTTTCAATCTGTTTGAATACATACCTAGGATTGGAATTGCTGGGTCACATGGTAATTCCATGGTAACTTTGGAATCACCAAACTGTTTCCCACAGCGGCTGCACCAGTCCATATGCCCACTAACAATCCCACTACCAACCACAATGGTTTCATTTTCTCTACATCCTCCCCACAGTTTTATTTTTCATCAAAACAAAAACAAAAACAAAACACCTATTATTATTAGAGCCATCCTATAAAGTGTGAAGTGGGTTTGATGTGTGTTTCTCTAATGACTAATTATATTTAGTGTCTGTTCATGTGTTTCCTGGACATTTTCTTATCCTCTCTGGAGGAATGTCTATTCCAATCCTTTGCTCCCTTTTTTTCAATTGCACTGTAAGCATTTCTGTTGTTGAGCTGCAGGACTTCTTTATATAATATGCATATGAAACCCTAGTTAGGGAAATGATTTATAAATTTTCTCTGCCTTTCTGTAGGCTCTCTTTTCACTGTCTTGATAGTGTCATTGATGTTGACTGGGGCAACAATCATTTGAAGGACTGATGAACTGAGAAATCAGAAGCCCTTATTGGGGGCAGGAGGGCAATGATAAGGGCAGAATCAGTGCTTTCCAGATATGGCATTAATGCCTGTGTCCAGTTTAACCAGCTCTCCCTTCTAAAGGCAACTGAGTTCAACAGACATCTGGATTATATGTGAATTATCAGATAAAAACCCTGGAAGAATTCATAGCAAAATACTAACTATGATGAGTGGTAGAATGCTGGATGTTGAATTTTTTGATCTTTGAGTTATTCATGGCTTCCAAATATGTCTAATGCATATATATTTCCTTTTGTAATCCAATAAAATTCTATTTTTTTTCTCTGAATTTTTGAGGCAAGAGGTTAGTACACATTCCTTAGTTGCTCCCTCTATGTTGAGGCAATGGTTTCTAGCAAGGTTCCCTGTGCCAGTGAAGAGTTGAGGGCAAGAACTCCATAAATGTTCACACCAGTTTGCATATTAATACATTTCCCAGAGCTACTACATTGAGACTTCCTCTCCAACCCCAACTTCAAGGTCCTCCAACTCAGCTATATACTTGCTGATCTTAGTTAAGAATGTTGCATGCAAGGTTCAGCTAGCAGTTCTCTTTTTACTCATTTAGCAGGCCAGTCCTTTTTATCCAGTGAATATCTTACCAGGTTCCACATTACTACATTTAGCAGGACCCTGGTGCCCTCCCCTCATTAACATACAAATACAGGTTGCTACTTCTTTTTTATTTCCTTTGGTCATATCCCAGTGCTCAAGCTACCATCTCTATCCAGAAGTTCTTACTGCTAACTTTCTGAAGTGCAGGTGATAGTCTAGTTTGCCTTGTCAGACTAGGTCAGAGATAGTATTGTTGTTCTGGAACTTATATCCTAGGGATAGTGCTCTCAACTCACCCTTCATTACAAGAATAATGAATTGTTGATCCAAACTGGGTATCTGTGTTTATATGCACCGTGCCATTAAAGGGTTCTGGTGGAGCTCCACATGATTTTCCTGTAGGAAAGAAGCAGAATTTGGGGCTAGGTGTAGAGTTCAATTCAGTTTTTAAGATTCAGCCCAGAGTGTAGCATACCGAACAGCATATACACATCTGATTGCTCCATAGAATTGACCATTTGAGGAAATTCACCATACAAGCTCAGAATCAAGCAGCTACAGAGCACTGCTTTTTAAAAGACTACTCCTGAATCTCCCAATAAAAGTCACTGATGGATAAAGAATTGTTTTCTTATCCCATCAGCCTGGATCAAAGGCCTCGAAATTTGGGATTTCACCTCCATCTTGGTTAACCAAGCACCATTCACTGTGACCTACATAATTTTCTTTGGCATCTCTATTTCATTCATTTCTGGGTTTTAGCCATCAAAGATCAACACCAGTGAATGGAAATTTCCCCTGGGCTTCCTTTTGTGAGAGACATTCCTGTGACATGAACATGGAGTCAAGGCACAGACTCCAGGCCATAAGAAAGGCTGACTGACAAAGTCTACCCTCCATTTAAATACCTTGGGCAAACCTTGATATCTTGCCTACAAAATCTGAACAAATTAAATTAGATCCCACAGATGCTTTGACATACATGAATTAGCTTCCAGGATGGTATTACTCACGTCTACAGATACCTTCGGCACTCGACCAGACCAAGTGCTCTAAGCAGGTGATAGAAAACATAGCCTCAAAATACCCAGGGGAACATTCATAATTCAAAGATGTCCCAATTGAAAACTCAGACTCATCAGTCAGGACTGTAGGCTTGGCAAACGGAAACTCTTCTGGGGCTTTACAGTAACCTGGAGAGCAAAACCACAGGAAAACCATAGTGAGCAGAGTGATTTCCAGCCTACCTTCTCATTCTTTCCAGTGAAGCTGGTAGATGGGCTCAGAGAAGAAGACTTACAATAATGGCAAAAGGTTTTCATCCCCTTCAAGTTACCTTAGCATGGGGCTTTCCAACAGCATCTACTCATCAGGAAATTTTTTACTACTAGGAAGAGTATTCACCTTTCTGGCCTTTCTGCTCTTGTTTCACCAAAGCAAGAATTTTAGCCAATGGTTTCATGTGTCAGGCCTATCAGACTGCCTGTGTGTAGGGTTAATCATTCATATCCTCATTTCTTGGTGTTAATATACTCATGTATATCAACACATATTTTACCTTCTCTCTCCATTTATTCCTCCCTACCTCATTCTCAGGGTGCCCACCACAAGCAGCCTCTCTGGCTCTAAATAGCAGTCACTAGTTGTAATGGGGTTGAATGATGTTCCCCCAGAAGGTACATCCATCCAGGACCTCACCATGGAAACTTACATGGAATAAGGGTCTTTTCAGCTATGTTTAAAGTAACACTCTCAAAATGAAATTATGTTTTTGAAAGGTATTTAAAAATTGTTTACTTCCTTGATATATTCTATTTAAAATCAATTGATATTTGCAGTGCTACTGCTTTTGGAATAAATATTTGTATATATTTCCTTTTCTTTCCATGAATTGCTTTTGCTTAATGTTTTATAAGGAGCTTTCTTTCTTTCTTTCCTTTTTTTTTTTAAGATTTTATTTATTTATTTGACAGAGAGAGAGAGAGAGAGCGCACAAGCAGACAGAGCAGCAGGCAGAGCAGCAGGCAGAGAGGGAGGGGGAAGCAGGCTCCCAGCTGAGCGGAGAGCCCAATGCGGGGCTCGATCCCAGGACCCTGAGACCATGACCTGAGCCGAAGGCAGAGGCATAACCCACTGAGCCACCCAGGCGCCCCTATAGGGAGCTTTCAATAGTGTGATGGGGAGAATAAAATTTCTAAGGAAAAAAAAAAAAAAAAAAAAGGTTAAGATCATCCTGGATTACCAGGGTGAGCCCTAAGCCCAGCAATGGCTGGTGCCTATAAGAGAAGGAGAGGGACATTTGAGACACAGAGACACAGGGGAGAAGGCCACATGAAAACAGAGACAGGGATTGGAATGATGTGTCTATAAGCCAAGGAATGCCAGGAGCCACCAGGAGCTGAGAAAAGCAAAGAAGGATTCTCCTCTAGAGTTCTGGGAGGGAGTGCAGACCTGCGAACACCTTGATTTCAGACTTCTAGCCCCAGCTCTGTGAAAGAGGACATTTCTGTTGTCTTAAGCCATTTAGTTTGTGGTAATTTGTATGGAAGCCCCTAGGGAACTACTTACCACTCTTCTCATTCTGATACTAAGCCAGATATTTAAGAACAAGGACAAAACAGACTAAGCCATTGAGCAGCTTTGTCTAAGCTGCTTTGTCTTCTTAATGAGAGGGTAGATCTCCTGCTGCATATTTTGAATAGAGTCTGTTATATTCAACTATCTCCTTTTTGGAGGCGACTGCTTCTCTTTGTCCATTCAACAGGCATGGCTGGTGGCCTAGGCAATTTCATTTAAGGAAATATCCCTGGATTCTGATATAACCATCCAGCTGGAAGGGGAGGGACACCAAAGAAGGGTTAAATGCCTTTTATCATGCGTTGCCTTTTCTCATTGGCATGCTTTTCTCTCTCATGAGTATTCCACATCTGGTGCCACATGCCCAGTGTACTCCCGCTTCCATCTTGGGAAGGCCTACAGTCAGGACTCAAGAACCAGGTAACCTCCAGTCTTTAGGAAGAAAAAGCCTCTTTCTCTTTCATACTCTTCCTTGAGCTTATTTTCCTTGCTTCTTCTTCTTCTTTTTTTTTTTTTTTTTATTTTCCTTGCTTCTAACTATCCCAATGGAAAAGTTCAAGGACAAAGTTTAAGTTGGGGCTCAGAAGCCAGCTGACAAATGGTCATACTTTGAGTCAGGGTCTTAAGCTACCAAGGACGCGTCTTTTTGGTTACTTAGCCTGTTCAGCATAGGACTAGCTAAAGCCTTAGCTAAATACTCTCCATATTGCCAGTTTGATTCTTTGCATGCCCCTGAACCTGCGGGGAGTGTGTATCAGTTATCCTGGCATTGGTTAGTGTACAGCCAGTTATTCTCATGTCCTCTCCAAAGAATATGTATTTCTTCTTGATTTATACACGGTGCTTACTGCCTTCCCCTCACCCTTATTTCTCTCCTCTTACCCCACTGGGTCACCACTACACCAGCAAGAAGAGTTATTCACATCTTACTCTTCAAACACAGCTTGGAGTCATCTGTTTGAGCTATGCATGCAACTCTGACCCTTTCGCTTATGACAATGTTGAACCCACACGCAAACACCATATCTTATGGAACTGTCAAGGGTCTTGGTCAGATGTTCTGAATCCATTCGAGGTACCTGGGTACTAACCTGCAGGACCAGCAAGTTTGCAGCGAGGGGCAGGGCTGCTCCAAATCCCGTTCCCTTCATTGTCACTTGTGCAGCGGAGGGTGCTCTTCCCAATGAGGTTGAAGGTCATCCCTCTGGCTGGGTGGTGGTCACACATGTAACTTATTTCCGTCCCATAGGGAACATCTCCCTGAGAAGGCCCATTGTGCTGCCCATTAAGGATAGAGGGAGGATTTGGACAAAAGATTTCTGGAAAAAACCCAAGTGCTCTAAGTTACATCAAAATGTTTATATTTTAATCTGAGTTAATTCCACAATTATGGGATGCTGTGACTGTGTTGCCCATTAAATAATTAACTCTCAATGAGAGTAAGAACCAGAAGGTAAGTATATAACGTCTCTGTTGAGACGCTTCTAAATGAAATGACACTGAAATCAAAGCCCAGAAGGGACCTAATCATCCTGACCCCTGGGAGAGTGAAGACTTTTGAATGACTGAGAGCTCGTTCTTTTATTTATTGATTGATTGATTGATTATTATTTTTTGACAGAAATCACAAGCAGGCAGAGGTAGGCAGAGAGAGGAGGAAGCAGGCTCCCCACTGAGCAGAGAGCCCAATGCGGGGGCTCGATCCCAGCATCATGACCTGAGCCGAAGGCAGAGGCTTTAACCCACTGAGCCACCCAGGTGCCCCGAGAGCTCGTTCTTTTAAAATAGACGAAAATCTTTTTAACCCCACTGAGAATAAAATCATCCATTTAATAAGAAAATTATCTATTAATTCAACAGGACTTTTTTGAGGACCTACTCTGTATCAAGTACTATTTTAAGTACAAGGTAGAGAAAAATCTCTTTTGACATTAAGGATATTCATACCATAGAAATCTTTCAAAATATATTATACATTTACTAGTTGTCTATCACTGATTTAATCTCTTCCTGATGACTTGGGGCTATTATACTCAAAACCAAAACAGATGGTTATAGTAATGCCATCACAATGAGTGAAACATTTCAGTGTTCCTATGCACAGATCTAGAAGATTCAGAAATGTAATGGCTTTTGAGATATTTATTGGTTTTTACAGGTTTTTTTTTTTTCTCATTGAAGAAATGCACATTTCTTCTTTTGAGTGTAACTCTCTGGAGATACTCCTTCCCTTTCTGGTTTCATCTGTATTTGGGAAGAGGATACCGCAGCTTGAAAGAATTATGAATAATCAAAAGGTGGAATGTTTACACTCTAGTAAGTGTATGTGGGTTCGTGGAAGTATTTTTTTCTTTCTTTCTTTCCCTAATGCTTCTTAACTATATTCCAGGAAAGTTAAGATTTTCAAACAGTTGACTTCCAGATGTGAAGGATGTAATTATCGAGTTTCATTACATAAATCAATACAAAATTTCCAAACACTTTTAGAGCAAAGTATTCCTTTGAAAACCTTCTATTATAAACAGGTATTTTTCAACAGCTATCATCAGAATATGAATCATCAGAATATGAAGCAACATCCTGTTTGATTTCATGAAGAAATAGATGGGCAGACTGAATATATTAGTAGTGTTTCTGTATTTAACACATTA